ATAAAAAACCGCTTAAAATTGTATTATTTTTGAAGAGTTTCATAAAGTTTGAGATTAAAATAATGGAAACCAGAGTTTGATGCAGCCTGTAGAATATAAATTAGCGAGTAAATTAGTTAAAATAAAAATTATAAAATTTGGCTGATTCTACAGAACAGGATCACTATTCTCATAGAGCGTATTTTTGTGTACAAAATTACATTTTGGCACCGGGCACCTAAAGGTAATAACATTATTAGGGACATTATCTATGTATTCTCATGAATTTTTTAATGATATTTTAATTTTTAAGTAAATTATGAATATGTAAAATATTATTAATTAACAATTCTCATAACTCGCTAACAAATTAAAATATTGCAAAAAATAGATAATATTATTACTTATTAGGTACCTTTAAGTTTGATAATAGGTGAATATACTTTATTATTAAGGGTTACTACACTTAATTATACTCCGGCCCACGAGAGTTCATACGTAAACCGCGCATCGATATAGTAATACGCGACGTCTGTTTTCTCCCACCATGATGTCATTCCCACTATTCGGCAACATGCAGATGCGCAGCGTCGGACAAGTTTTAACGGACGTTCTCTCGTGGGCCGGAATATAGTACTGCTGAACACAAACTTTCTATGTTGTAAGATTGTAAGAGGGAGACAACATTAGAGGTGTAATGTCCTCTTTATAATGTAATAATTCAGTATATAAACTATAAACAGTCTGGCTCAGACATCCATAGCGATAACATGTGTTAAACCGGTTCGTAACGTGTCGCTTATCGTATCAAATCAATCACCTTTAATTGAGTCATTAATTAAAAGAGACAACTTGGTCCTCCAAAATACCATCATTGTCAAAAGTATGAGCACACATGCAACTACTGCCTCTACTATCCGATCCGCGATGCGTGAAATGTAGAGATGATCACTACACTAATAATTGCACAAAAAACTGGAGGAGCCAGCAAAAAGTGTGAGCTGTGGCAAAATCCACACTGCCAATTATAAAAGTTGCCAAACATTAAAAATTTTTAATACGCATCAAATCTAAAACCGGAACAAAAAGATAAAATCAACAAATACAAACATAGGCTGTACCACTGCACCTCACAGGAGTGGGCATGACGCCCTCAGCTCAAACTCAAAAGGAAAACCCTCATATGCTGAAGCTACAGCAAACAGATAACCCTCTGCAAATCGTCACCAATTTCTTTAACGAGTTAAAATTAATCCTAAACCTCCTCTTAGCATCTAACATCCCAAATAAGCAAAATCCCACTCTCCATCACTTCCACTCCTTGATTAATTAACACACAAATCACAATATCTTCTGTTCATCCGTACCATATTAAATAAATAAAAAAAAACTATGAACCATAATGTACCTCACATTTTATTCAAATGATTCAATTTTCTTGAAAAGCATATCCTACTATAACTAATGTAAAGATTTCTGTTCAATCTATATTTATTATTTAATGAAAATATATACCACTAAATTTTTCTTTAGTTTGCTTATGTAAATTAGAAATAGCAATGCGAGCTGCTAGTTTTTCATAATCTGGATGAATAGTAGCCATAGTAATTGCCATTTCAGCAGCTGCATCATCTAGTTGAGATGTTGTAATACCAGCAAACAGACATTTTTTGATCACGTGAATAGCTGTTGCGGCCTAAAAAATGTAATATAAGCTTGGTTAAATAGGTATAATCTAAGATATTAAACTTAAAAATTACTTTTCTTTTATTGAAAACAAAATGTTTGTAATTTTACCACAACTTTATAATAATAATTATTAAGTTTTACAAATTCAACTATGATAAGTGTACAACTGATATATTCAGAGGTTTATTAACATATAGTCCATGGTCAAATTATACATTAATAAAAATAATTTGTTTGATTTAACTCACTGGATCAATTTTTTCCAAGCCATAACATAACTGTTTAATACGTGCAATAATTTCATCATAGTGAACTTTTTCAATAGTGCCATCTAAAATAATAATTAAAACCAAATTATGTACATAATAATATTTTTGTTGTTTTATTTTAGTTATTATTTGAAAATACTAATAACAGTATTGTCGTCTCCATCTTACAATTGCGTAGGTAACATACCAAATTGTACACTCAGTTGATCACGTTTAGTTCCATTAGTTTAAACGTTATACTGAATTGACCTATTATAAAAGTTAAGTAAGATTTTTACCTAGGGTATCTCATAGGCTGTTTGTTATGTTTTAATTTTAAAGCAAGTTATGAGTATTTTAAAATTGTAAATTGTTTGTACATCTTAAATTACTCATAACTCGCTTTAAAATTAAAATATAACAAAAAGCATCGTATAGGATGCCCTAGGCAATAATCTTACCGCTCAGTTTTATAAGAGGTCAATATACTCTAATTTTTAAACTAATGCTAGTTAGTTGAAAGCTAATTGTGATCTTCTGAGCGTAAAATGTTCTATATTACGCACTTGTAAGACGGAGTTACAGAGATAACAACAGTCCGTGTAGCGTCCTCTTAGAAAAAAGAGAATGCCTCAGAATACAGATTAAATGAAAATGAAGTATTATATAGAATTTCATATAAGTAGTCTGAAACAATGCTTAATTAATATTTTGATTTCTCATCAACCATGGCTATATAACTATGTCTATTTTTTTTATACCAAGTTATAGTTTAACAATTAATTGCAACAATCAATATAATACATGATGTCGAGCAGTTAGACTTAATTAGCAAACAATAATAAACATACACATAACTACAAGGCTATAAAAATATATTTGTAAAATAGAAGCTCGAATAAAACATAATATGCGACCCAGTACATACCTCTTTTTTGAACGTACAAATGCTTCTTTAATTCAGCCATAGTAATACTGAGATAGGATCGGTTTTAAGTTAATAATGAGTACTCTTAAACGTTATAGCTTTCAGTCGAACGCTGAACAATGAACAGTCGCTTTAACAATGTATTAGCAAAGTATAATAGGCGCGAATAACGTACCGACTAACGACCCTTCCGACGGAAGTGGTGAAGAGCAATTTGCCAGATGGCCTCTAAACCGACCCGTAGTTTAAGTAACATTATCAGTCTTCAGTCGGCAAGATGGTTTTAAATGTGCAAATAAAATGCCACAACAAGGGCACAAGCCTGTAGTTTGGCGCCAAAATGCTATTGTCAAAACAGTGACACCATTTAAAAAAAAAAAAACTCCGATCAGTCGTACCGTTCGTCCAGAAGTGTCGGGTTCGCGTCAAGTTTAAAATAATTGTATGCATACCAGCCAATAGGTAAGGAAATGTTTACCTACAATCTATATTGAACTAATTACTATTGAAGGTTTCGTTGTTTACAACTTACAACTTACAAGTGGACAGTAGTCGTCTTTGAATTTATCTACTAGTGTCGACTAACTGTCGAGTTGTACTGGTTAATACTTATTACCTAATTAATGAGTATAGGTAGGTAATAGAAAATAGGTATTCGACAACTGAGTTAGTAATAACCGGAATGGATGATCTCAATAGTTATCGTAATGTTTTATCCATGGTCGGATTGACCAATATAAGATTTATAACTTATAAGTTATAACCAGTTGTAGACTGTAGCTTAATTTATACTTAACCTGTAGACTGTAGTGTTTCAGTTCCGATTTCCTAAATGCAATATAGATAGACATACACGGTCACACAGAACACTACGTCCAATGTCCATATACTACAATTGGGCATTTGGCCTAAATTTTTATAGTAGTACAAAAAATATCAATTTGAATATATTGTCTTTTTTAGGTATACTAAGAAATTCTATAAATCAGAATTTGAATAAATGTATTTTTAAAGGAAAAAAAGGTGGTGGGCATTCTTCACCAAAATGTCAAGTAAATTTTGTATTTCATGATGGGGCACCTTAAAAAAGCTGATCCATGGGCCTTTTGTGTGCTAGGTCGACACTGAATTTAAGTCTTGCTCACTATAGTTGACAGTTGAAACTTGATCAATATTTTTTTTTTTAAAGTAAGTAATAATAATACGGCAAAAATACGGGGGGGGGGGGCTTCAGCCACTGGTGCCTACTGCCTAGTGTTTACCACATAGAGTATTACTCTATGGTTTACCATAACGGCTACTATCAGTCATCATGCAGTGGCTTGTTGAACTTATTTTTGGCGATGAGCAAAAATATATTATACAAGGTACACGCCCACCCAACCCCCTTGGTGTTTATTGATGGCATTTCCAACCCAGCAAAAATGTTTAAATAAAAAATGTACAAATATGCGTACATTTGTAACGATTTGTATAATCGGATATGATATTTCTATTATATACCTAGTCACCTAGCAACTAGGTGGCTACTGGCTAGGTATTTTGTGTCGTGGGACCACCCACCAAACAACAATTTTGAAGGAGCAATTGCTCCAAAAATCAAAATAATACCTTCGACACGCCACTGGCTACTATACAACTCAATAGAATATATTCAATTATGCAAATCGCCACAGCACAATATTAATATTATATTTTATATTTTGTACGACAGCGTTGGGTACGACTGTAAGCCGCCATATGGTAGGAAAAAACGCGGGAAACCTTGTGCTACTATCATTTAATCATTATTCATTATGCCGCTGTTGAGCTGTTCCTTGTTATTGCGAATCGCGTGCAGTACAGTACACTTTCTTTGTATGACTTGTATTGGCGGTTTATTCGAGGCTAGTGGCTACGGCAGCTGTACTATAAGTTATAGTATGGCATTACCATAATTACAGTAGTCAACTATATTGTCTGTTACTATTTGCATACGGTTTTTGGCTGGCCCGGAAACGTATTCGGCCAGGTGCATACCAACTCCTCCAAACACACATTTGATTAATTACAGTGTGATATTATTATCCATTCGTACTCTCCTGTCCGGATTCTGCGATCGGCCGTTGGTGGTTTTTGACCTGTTGCCTACCGCTCTTACGAGAACCTCCCCGATCATGTCTAACTACGTGGGAAACCCTAACACGAAACTGTTCGTCAAAAAGCGTGGTAAGTACTGACACGTTGATGTTATTTTTTATTTATTATTGATTATTCACTATTCAGGTACTTAAATATTACAATATAAAGATATAATCACCGTATGTGAGGTTAGATAAATTGACGTGTTCAAACATTTTAAAAATCAGCCTCCATTAATTAACGATACCTATGCCGATCTATTAGAGTCTAGAGATATACCTTTATAATGACATTCATATTAATATGACGTGGTATTTAAAGGGTCACGTCTCTTGAATATGCAAATTCCCCCTACTCTGATTTTTCTGTCAACAGTTTAGTTACCTACTAATGGTAACATTTTATAATATGTCTTATTGTATGAATAAAGTCCCTCCACAAATTAATCATCAAGTTCTCTTGTTTGAAATCTGTCATCATTAAAATGTATTTGTTTAGATGGCCGTTTGGAAGAAGTGCTAATGGACAAGATCACTTTACGAATTGAACAATTATGCGACGGCCTCAACATGGACTTCATTGATCCGGTTATATAACATTTTATATTATTATTAGGGAATGGATTTATATGTAAATTTTACTAGGTACTTTTTGTTATAAAATTAAATAAGTAAAATTTATATAATAATAATATATCTATATATTTAATATTTATATTATACAGCGTGATTCTTTTATCAAACAACACTCATTATTTCAAAAAGTGTAAATTTTTTGAAAATATTTTTTTACATAGTTTCAAGTCGCTCATAAAACAACGTTTTTATTAAAAAATTATATTTAAAATATCTTCAAAAAAATGTACACTTTTTGAAATAATGAGTGTTGTTTGATAAAAGAATCACCCAGTATATGTATAATATTATTCTTGGCTGGAGTAAATGAAGTAAGACGAGTGTCCAAAACTCAACTCTCGTGTCTTACCCAGAAAATGTATTAGGTTTCATTCAAAAATCTCAATCATAATTTATAGATACCTTCACCCATTAGCCATTAATATTTATATACATTTTTAAATTATTTTTCAACTATTCTCTTTTATGTTTGTGTTTTTAAGTTTATTCTTTTACAACTGAATTAGTTTTATATTAATACCTACCTAACTAAAAAATTAATATTTTACTCATTGTTCATTTTCTTTCTTTTAGCCTGAAATTACACTATATGTCATTGGTGATTTATGCCCAGGTATCACTACTGTACAAATTGACAATTTAGCTGCTGAAACGGCTGCTTATTTAACAACTAAACATCCAGATTTTGCTATACTTGCTGCACGTATTGCCATTTCTAATCTTTATAAAGAAACTAAAGAAAACTTCAGTGGTATATAATTTATTCTGTTATATTTCCATACATAATTATTAATATTATATTGCATGGTTTTTACAGATGTTATTTATGATTTGTATAACATGTCCAATGAACGAAATCAAAGCCGTATGCCAATCATTTCTGATTTTCACTATGGTATTGTCATGAAACACGCTGATCGTTTAAATAATGCTATTAAACATGATAGAGATTATACTTACAGTTATTTTGGATTTAAGGTAAAGACTAATCTACAGAGTTATTCTTTAATAATTGTATTAAATGTAACATTAATTCTTATAATTCATTTCAGACACTTGAAAAGTCATATTTATTAAAAATTGATGGTAAAGTTGTAGAACGTCCTCAACATTTATTAATGAGGGTTTCAATTGGTATTCATGGTGAAGATATTGACGCAGCCATAGAAACTTATGATTTAATGTCATTAAAGTATTTTACTCATGCTTCACCAACAATGTTTAATGCTTCCACACCTAGACCTCAACTTTCAAGGTAATATTAATATTTTATATTTTATGTATATTTAAGTTTCCCAAAATGTTTGTTTAGTTGTTTTTTGGTGGCTAATAAATCAGATGAATTGGAAGACTTTGGTAAAACAGTTAAAACATGTGCCAAAATTTCTCAATCTGCTGGTGGTATTGGTGTACATCTCCACAATGTTGGTGCAGCTGGTACAAAATGGACTAAGTATCCAAAATGTGAATCACATGGTCTTGTTGAGCCTTTGAAAGTTCTGAATGATTTGGCTCAATATATTGACCAAGGAGGAAGGGTTAGTAAACACTATATTTTATTTAGGTTAAATTAGTTTTTTTTTTAATGTATTTGGGTTTAATAGAGACCAGGTGCGGTTGCTGTTTATATTGAGCCTTGGCATGCTGATATATATACCTATACAGAATTACGTAAAAATACTGGCAATAAAGAAGAAAAAACTAGAGATTTATTTTTGGCTCTTTGGATACCTGATGAATTTATGAGACGTGTTGAGGCTGATCAATCTTGGAGCTTAATGTGTCCGCGTAAATGTCCTGGTCTTTCAGATGTCTGGGGCGACGACTTTGTGAAACTTTACAAAAAGTATGACTAGTATTTATTATTTAAATATTATACTCTTATGAGATGTCAGAGCACTATTTGTTTTCTCTCTCTGACCCACGCGCAACATAGACAAAACGCATTTACACAGAATCATTTTTTTGTATGTTTTAAAGTAATTTTAGAGTAAAATCACCCATTGCAAAAAAGATAAAGAACAATATTTTTGAGGGAATGACATCGATTTGTCTAAATATTGTCTCAAATATATTTAAACATAATTTAAATGTAAAACATTTTTTTGTTTATTTTGAAAGTCGAATACAAAGTAAAATATAATAATTATTCTCTATCTGTTTTGTAATGGGTGATTTTACTTTAAGATTACTAAAAAGCATAAAAACTGTCCCACTCCAGTAGGCTGTCATTTTGATTCATCTCATAGAATATACAATAAAAATTATCTGCGAATATGCTATCCACCGGTATAACACTGATATTTTGTAGAAGATATGCTAATACAATGACAAATTATCGATAGGAACACTAACGGAATAAAAATGGCGACCCTCGATGTAGAGACACTTTTCAATACATGAATTATATACAATGCGCCTTCCATGTATAGAATTCAGTGGTCGTAGTAGACTATATTTTTCTAGATGCCACACAACATTTCCCAAATATTCACTACTTCAAGATCTTTATTCATTCATTCTATTCATTCATTCATTCATTCATTTTTGTTTAACCTAGTTATAAGAATATTTTATATAAACACAATTATAACTATACTATTTACAACTTACACTATACAACTAAAAATATCTAATAAAACATGTATGTCTAACTACCATAGGTATGAAGATGAAAAACGTTACAACAAACAGGTACCGGCAAGAGAATTATGGTTTCGTATAATAACTTCTCAGATTGAAACTGGTATGCCGTATATGTTGTATAAAGATGCATGTAATGCCAAAAGCAATCAGAAAAATCTTGGTACAATTAAATGTAGCAATCTTTGTACTGAAGTCATTCAGTACACTTCGGAAGAAGAGGTCAACAACTATCATAGTATTATTATTTTTAAATATTATACTAGATAAATATCATTTTTATATATGTTCTATATTTTATTTGATAGGTAGCAGTATGTAATCTAGCTTCAATCGCGGTAAATATGTTTATAAAACCCAATGGAGAATATGATTTTGAAAAGCTTTTAAAAATTACTAAAATTGTCACTAGAAATTTGAACAAAGTTATAGATGTCAACTTTTATCCTGTCATAGAAGTAATTCAATTTGTTAAATTAAAATATAATATTATATAATATTTATTCCATTGTATATCAAATTCTAATCACTTAGGCTGAAACTTCAAATAAACGACATCGTCCTATTGGGATTGGCATCCAAGGGTTGGCAGATTTATTCTCATTGATGCGATATTCATTTGGCTCTCCTGAATCAAGAAAGCTTAATTTACAAATATTTGAGACTTTGTATTATGGTGCGTTAGAAGCTAGTTGTGAATTAGCTGAAAAATATGGAACTTATTCATCTTATCAAGGATCACCAATTAGCCAAGGAGTATGTACTTTAAAATTAAAATATTGATATATTATATTACGTCAATTTAATTTTATACAATTTTAGATTTTACAGTATGAAATGTGGAATGTAAAGCCCAGTGATTTATGGAATTGGGATATATTAAAAGAAAAAATTGCTAAACACGGTGTTAGAAATTCATTGTTATTAGCACCAATGCCTACTGCTTCAACAGCTCAAATTCTTGGCAACAATGAATCTATTGAACCATATACAACAAATTTATATTATAGACGTACTCTTAGTGGAGAATTTAGTGTTAGTAAATTGTATAAATTGTATAAATTTGTTATTATTTTATTTTTAACTTATCTTCATCCTCTAGGTGATCAATCGTCACTTATTGAATGATCTAATTAAGCTTAATCTATGGAATGAAGACATGAGAAATAAATTGATTTACTTCAAAGGATCAGTACAGGTAAAACAAATATTTTGAAAATATTTTAATGACCAAAATATATACTTAAAATTAAATTTTATGTAAATATAGAAAATAGAAAGTATTCCAGACAATATTAAAGAATTATACAAAACAAATTGGGAACTATCTCAAAAAATTATATTAGATATGGCTGCAGATAGAGGAGCATACATTGATCAATCTCAGTCATTAAATATTCACATTGAGCAACCAACTATTAGTAAAATATCATCTGTACATTTCTACGGATGGAAAAAGGTAAATTAATTATACATCAAACATTAAACATTTAAAATATTTTATTAATTTTTATATAACAGGGCTTAAAAACTGGTATGTACTATTTGCGTACCAGACCAGCTGCTGATCCTATACAGTTTACAGTTGATAAAAGTACACTGTCTAATAATGTTGCAATTCAAACTGAGAAGAATGATGCCTTAAGTATGGAACAATTGGTGTGTTCATTGGAAAATAAAGATGCTTGCACAATGTGTGGTGCTTAGATCACTGTGGTTCATAATTAAACACTTGATCCGTAAGGTTATTGATGCACCAAATGATGTATATATTTATAATTTATGTGGTGATTTCACTATAATTTTTATTGTAATACTTTTTTTAACTTTATTTTTTGTTTTATGTACTTACTATAATTTATTATCTGTGGTATACTGTATAGTGTTTACACATAATTGGGCAATATGTAAAAAATAAAATCCCAATTCATAAACAAAGTTATATTTTAATTTTATAAATTATAATTTTTTACATAAATATACCATAGTTTTTATTCATATTTGCCTATATCAAGTATCTTACACCTTAAATAAAAATGCATTCAATTGAATGTTAAGGGGATGTCTGTGAAATTATTGTTTTCTCTTAGACCCATGTGCAACATAAATAAAACGCTCTCACCTAAAATTGTTTCAATGACTTGAGTAATGTTTAAGTAAAATTAGCTATTACAAAAATTATAGATTATAATATTTTTAAGGGTGTGACATATTGGTTTACCTTGGTTTTATATTTAACCATTATTCAACTTTATATTTGAATTTCAAGATAACAATTTTTATTGTAAATTTAAAAAAACATTTAAATTGTTTTGAGACAATATTTAGACAAATCAATATATTATATCCTTAAAAATATTGTTTTCTATCGTTTTTTAATGGATGATTTTACTCTATCATTATATTCAAAAACTTAAAAAAAAGATGATTCTGTGTAGATACAATTTGGGTATTTTGCGAGTGGGCTACTGTGAGAAAACAAACAAGTGTGCTGACATCCTCTTAAACTATTTTACTCTTCAATTTTATTGTAAAGATTTCCATCAGAATTGTTAAGGATAACTGGAGAAGAACAATACTGCTATTTTGTGTCTTGACTTTATGAGAATATCTACGGCATTGTATGATTATAAACTTTTCAAAACAATAGGGAAGAACTAAAAAAAAAATACGGATGAATTTAGATATTAACCCAATACTTAACAGTTTTTTTTATGAAACCAATTAGTCATTGGTAGTCAAAAAACTTGATAACGTATAATTTAATAGTTAATACAAGGTTCACATAAGGGGAAGTACTTTTGGACTGATCGATGAATATCAAAAGATTAAAATACATAAACCGTTTTTAACCAAATTATAAACATCTAGAAACAATTACTCAGACGCAGTTGAACACTGCAGTTTTCCATTTTTTACTTATTTGACAATTCTATGATGGTGTACTGACTGTGGTATAACCGTAGGTATAGGTACCAGGTAGCCAAAGTTGAAGAGTGTTTAATAAACCACTGTGTGGTATTTTTATTATTTTTCCTTTTTTTATACCGGTAATTTATACCACCAATGAGACCATATTTTTCTGGGTACCCATTCCATAATAAGATGCGTGTTTTTGTTTTATGCATTGCAATAATGATAAAATTATGGTAACACGGCGTATTAGGTAGGCAATTTCGCCACACCTTTTGTCATGGGTTTATTTTTCTGGTAACATAATATTATGATAATGAGGACGCCACACGGGCATATTTTGTTGTCTTCATCTTACAAACGTACAACATGGGCACATGGCAAATTGTACGTTCGCAATAAGACATTTTACTCTGTAGTTTCTAAAATTAGAGTGAATTTGCCGCTTATAAAATTTAAAGGTAAGAATATTATCTAGGGCATCTCGGAGGATTTCATTGATATTAATATTTTTAAGTGAGTTATGATAATTTCACAATGTACAAAAAATGTACAGTTTAAAAATATCAAAAAAAAAAAAGTCCGAGATGACCTAGATAACATCTAGACCTTACCTATTAAATTTTATAAGAGGTAAATTCACTCTAGTTTTAGAAATTACTGAGTAAAATGTGCTATTAAACGTAAAATGTGCCATGTTGTAAACTACCTATACATTTTTTTAAAATATTTAAATAAATTTGAATATATTATGCATACAAAACATATTATAATGTACGTCATTATTTTAGATATATTTTCAAATTAAAGACGTTTTTATAAGTTAAGTATCAAAAATGTATTATTATGATTATAATTCATTTTCCCAAAATGATACATCTGAAATTTTGGGGGCGTACTACCTAGTAGACAAAATATAGCATAAAAACATGGTTTCGTAACTCCAGGAATACGGCTTATTGAAGCGTTTTACAGTATAAATACCTATTACAAAAATTGTAGAGGAGAATTTTTCCTAGAATCGTAAGAAGTCCGATTTTCGATATTTTTATTAATTAGTTAAATAATTAATTGACAAAAAGATAAAAGAAACGTGTTAATTTACCATGCGATATTGGACGATTGGAACTAGATATCAAAAATCGAGCTTCTAGAAAAAATTCTACTCCACAATTTTTGTAATAGGTACCTATTTATACTGTAAAACGCTTCAATAAGCCGTATTCCTGGAATAACGAAACCATGTTTAAAAAAAAAACGTTTAATTACGCTCGTCATGTGCTCCGCCCGTTATAGACAGCGGCAACGCTCGATACTAGATGTTCATACCACCACCCCGCCCGCCATAACAGCAGTACCCCGTCATAGGTCAAAACAGGTTTTCTATCGCAGCCGTGCGCCTGAACATAGTTTATAAATAGCCATATAAGAAAACGATTATTAAATAATATTTTGTGACAAATCACAAATCTTACTTAATTTTGTTGGGTTTTATATTTGGTAATCAATAATAAATTATAATATTATGTACTAATAAAAACTATACTTTTGTTCTTCCAGTAAGACGCGGCTTATTGAAGCAGTTTACAACAAAACTACCTATTATACAAATTGTAGAAGAGAATTTTTCTAACATTTGTAAGAAATTCAATTTTAGATTCCGAGTGGAACGATAAATGTATTGATTTTACAATGATAATATGTGTTTTTGTTTTTTTATTTTTTTGTGTCTGTTGCACGATAAGTGCTTCGATTTTCAACTTCAATATCTTGTTCGATTGGAAAGTGAATATCGTTGGTGCATTGGGAGGTCAAAATTTAAAATTCCTAGTAATTTTCAAAAGCGTCAAAAAAAACAGAAGAAAAATTAAGGAAAAACGGGAATTTTTACGCAAAATCGATTTTTCACAAAATTGAATTTGGTTGTTTGTGTAACTTTAAAAAAAATGACCGTAGATACATGAAATTTTCACTGACTGTTTATGTTTGCATTTTCCATACACGATGACATTTTCAAAATATTTTGATTTATTTTGATCTGTTTAGGGACATTTTCCATTTTTTTTTAGTTTTTTTTTAAAAATATCAATAAAATTTTATTTGTTGGTTAAAAAAGCTTGAAAATTTAATAGAAGGGTCCTACTATATTTTTTCAAAGGCAGATGAAAAATATTAAAAATCCTTAGTCACAGTTTTTTTTAATAAGCATTTAAAGTTCAAAAATTGACAAAATATGGAAAAATCACGAAAATTAGCAAATTATTTCGTGATAAGAATTCATAAAACTTTTTCTTTTTAAATCTAAGATTTTAAAATGTAACACAAGATTCCTTATAAGATTATCTACCTTTATCAAAAAAAATTGTCAATAAGAAAATCAAATTAAATTTTTATGAGAGTTTGAAATTCAAATTTTTACAACATTGGATATTATAACATGGATTTCTCATGTAGCGATTTCCTTATTTTATTGTAATTCAAAAACGAATAACTGTAGATACATGCAAATTTCACGGAATATTTATATAAGCATTTCCTACACACCATACAATTTTGAAAATATTTTGACTCTTTTTGAGCTGTTTATGGACATTTACAGCTTTTAATTTTTTTTAGTTTTTTTTTCTATAAATATCAATAAAGTTTTATCCGTTGAGCCAAAAAGTGTAGAAATTTAATACAAGGCTCCTGATATATTGGTACAATATTAGTTTAAAAATATTAAAAATACATAGGCATAATTTTTTTATAAGCATTTAAAGATCGAATTTTGATAAAATGTATCATATTTAAAATTGTAGAATTATTTTTTACTTAAAAATGTATAAAATGTTCAACTGTTATATCTAAGGATTGAAAATTTAAAACAAGATTCCACTTAAATAGTTAGTTATATTACCAAAAAATCTAAAAAATACATAAGCAAATTTTATTTTTATAGTCATTTTAAGTTCAAATTTGGAGGAAATTACATAATAAAATACCTAGAATAACTATTTTAGTTATTTTGTTGTGATTGTATAATATTATTCGTGAATCGTGGGTACTTGAAACTTCTAAAGTATACTACTATATATCTATGATAGTAATTAATATACTAAATAATAGTAATATAGTTAGTAGCGAATAATCCGGACCCGGGAGTAATACCTTGGGGTCCCCACTATTTTGACCTCATATCATTAACTTTGTCAGGTAATTGTCAGTAGTTAAATTTTTTCCTCTCTGTTCGTTAAATTCTTATTTTTAATTGTTGCTTTAGTTATACTCAATTATACTACAATTGATGCCTGATGGTTTCCTTAGTCAGTGACACGGTCTACAGGAATAGCTATTTTATGAGTCAGCGGCCATGTATACCATAAGTACACTTGATAAAAATAAGAAGGTTTATAAGTAAATGTACCATCACCAAATATGTGTGGATTATAATTGCACAAAAAAGTTTAAATTAGATTTGCACGTTATCAATATAATGTTGTTTGCACATATTATTGGTATAGGTACCAACTCTAACTGTATACTTACGCGGAGGTATACTATAATAATTGTATTATAATGTTTTAAAGAGGATTTATAATATGTCGATCTGCATTATATTACTATTTACTATACTAAATTTCCCAATATTTTGATTAACAATTTCAAGTAACGGACCAGGCTATTAGTTTTTACATTGCCTTTTATGAAATTAAATACAAGATAATAATACAATTATTATGAATTAAATTTAAAAAAAAAATTTACATCTATCCGACCAAGGCCCCAAGGGCCCTTTGACCCTGCGGGCCCCA